TTATCTTTCTTTCCTTAGAAACTTTTTTTCAAGATACTAACTGCTTGTTCCTTAACTTAGCTGCCGATTTTATTTTTATTCTCGCAACAGTTTTTTATGAGCCAATTAGCAAGAAAAAAAAACATCCATTAACGACCTCTTTAGGTATAGCAGCAAAGATTAACAAAAAAGAAATGCAACTAACCGGAAACCCTCGAAAGAGAGAAGGAATAAAAAGAAACAACTTTCGCCTTTCAGCTGTTAAACTGCAGTTGGATGCAGCAAAGAAAATTCTTTCTTAAGTTCAAGTATCGGCATGCAGCAGCCGAAGTTGCCCTTAACAGCGCTTATTCATCTGCAAGGGTGCTGCTTTCGTTATACAACACTCCAATCTGCTTAAACATCTGCTCAGAAATACACATATACAACTGGTTCCAACACTTTTCCACAGCCACAAAAATCCGGAAGATAGCAACGTTTTCAAATTTTGATTTGTTGAGACTAATTTGCCAGGAATAGCTGTTTTTGTATTGATTTTCATTGTTCACTACGACTGAGCAAAAAATAGTTGAAAGAGTACAGCAAATGTACTGCAAATGAAAATGAGCTCTATAAGATATTAGTTAGAATGACCTCAGCAATGGATAGCGAAAAACTAGTGAAAATTTGACCGCTGCAACTTGAGAGCACAGAAGGAACACAACTGTCTCGTAAAAGTGAAGTGATTTGAAAGACGGCTCAAAGCAACATTTAGAAAACTTTTTTAAAAATAAATTAAAAATAAATTCAAGTTATTTGAAAAAATAAATTTTTCAGAGAGATTCCTCCAAAAACCGTCAACAACAATAATGGCATTTCAAATAGAAAAAACCCTTATAAAAAGTATCAAGTCAAGTTTTAATATTACCATCGGACAGCAACTATTAATAGTGGTAACCGAATCCTCCCCCTCCCTTCTTAAGCTCTTGTAAAAAAGGCATCAGCAACATTGATCTATGATCACGAGTTTAGGAACAAAAAAGTTATTAACAAGCAGAAGCTTAGTTTAACGAGTACAATAGCTTCCTCATTTCAACCTGTTTACTGCTTTAATTTTTTTTTCATCCATTCTCTTCCCTTCCAACTACCAATATCCTTCCCGGTTACTACTACATAACAAAATGATGACTAAGAATAAATTTTGTCAAAAAGCAATCAGCATTTAATCACGTTCCATGACCGGTTAATGTATTTTAGCGAAACATATTGGTAGACAGAGTAAATAGGGGAAAAAAACAATTTGTTTCTTTTTTTTTTCCCAGATCACTCTCTACAAAACCAACTCATACAGTTACTTTTATAGAGCAAAAAAAAAAATTACTGTTCTTATTTGACTCGAAGCTGAAAACCAAAAAGCCATAAAAATAAAGTTTTCATAGTTAAGCCAGAAAAAAAAGATATTATGAGAACAATTGTCATCAAGTTGAAACTAATCGTAATTTCTAAAAAAAATTATTTCCCATCCCAGAACAGGTCAAATCTGCAAAAAAAAAAAAAAAAAAAAAAAAAAA